CCCCAAAACCCCAAAACCCCAAAACCCCATCGTCAATCGAATTTCAAATAATATATAAATTCAAAATTAAATCGTTTAATTAAGAAATTTAAATGATTGATAATAAAAATGAGGAAGAGGGTAATTAAGTTATTCTAACACATCAAGGTGATGTCTCAGAGGCTGAAGTTTCTTCACACAAGGGATCTATTGAAAGAGATCGTGGTGGAAAAACTCGATTAAGTAGTCCTTTTTCAAGCAAGTGAGTTACATTCAACCTAAAAGACGAATTGAAGTACCCTCTAAGGAAAGAGGAAGAATAGAATAGCTGTTTTTCTGAGAAATCATTATATTGGAGTATGCTCTTCCTAGCTAAATGCCCCATGTTTATTACATTTGGAATATATGCCTATACACTCACTTTTTATTCGATAGTAAATATATTTCTCTAGAAGATCATGCTCTTTTTTAGATATTTATCTTGCCCAATTTGAAATAAGACTACCTTCACTATCTTGGGGTTGATAATCCCTGGAAATCAAGCATTGAAAAGGAGCTCAATTACATGAACTCATTGGTTATCACAATTGTGTTTTCTATTGCTGCTTTACTCCTGTTTATCTCGCTGGTTAAAACCATAATCACCAATCCAGGTCATATACCTGAGGATCGGGAATGGGATATTTATTCTGGCAATTCTACTGAGGAAGATGAAAAAGATTATTTGTGCCTGGAAAAATTTGAAAACTCATTTGAAAAGCAACCAAAACAAATAATACAGAAAGGAAATTATGAAAAAGGTTTATAAAAAGAGAATTCTATATTTATCGGTGACAGAGAAATCACGTAAGTAGAAAATTGATTTTGAATTAATAAACCGCAAATTAATCAAAATAATGAACTTAATTTAAATTATAGTTATCTGACTAACGATGGAATCAAAGAGGATATGTGCTAGCCAGTTGAGCCTTCTCATTTTGATCTTAAGTATTTATCAGGATATGAGGGTCCACTTTATCAAGACATTTTCCATCTTGATCTAGGTGAAAATAGTGACGATAAACATTCTCTCCTATAGAGAAGTAATAATAAAAAACTATTTGCACATTATCAATCATTTGAAAGAAAGAAATTTGGAGGGATGAGAATGTGCCAAAGGTGCCTCAAAACAAAAGTAAATTCTCAAAACTTTAGACTTTAATTATATTTATAGCCAGATCGATGTCATCATTGTTCATAATGCAATAAGTGTGTACTTAAAATGGATCATCACTGCCCATGGGTAGCCAACTGTATCGGTTTTTACAATTACAAGTATTTCTTGAACATGCTACTCTATACTGCAATATCTAATTGGATTATTATTCTCTCATGCTAAAAATAATTAAATATGGTCATTGATAATTCCCAAAGAGAGTTTTACTTTGCTTACTATTTATTGACCTCGTATGTGCTTTGCTCATGTCTAGCATTAGTAATCACGGGATTCTTCATATTTCATATCTGGTTAGTTTTAAATCAATACACTACGATTGAATATTGCGAGAAAAAAAATGAGGGAGATATGATATATGAGAAATCTCCCTACAATATAGGGTATCTAAAGAATTTAAAATAATGTCTAGGATAAAATATAATGTTCTGGCTTATTCCTGTTAGTAAGTTAAAGCTATTAACTAACCAATTTTAGAGCCTGATTTGGAAAATGATGGCATGATCTTTGATATCAGAAAAGACTTAAGGAACTTAGTTAACAAATAATAGATTTGATTCTAATCAATTATGTGGAATATGTGCGTTAATTAAGACAATTAATATTTTTGAATTAATATTTGACATATATTACTATAAACTCTAAGTATGTATAAATATTTTGAATTTTTTTAAAATGCTTAGATTCAGATGATAACCTATTGGCGGGGTTTTGGGGTTTTGGGG